TTGTAGTTGTGTGGTAGCTGCTACAACAAATGGAGCATTGGCTACAAAATTGCAATGAGGAGAGTGTTATGACAGTCATGCAAAGGTTCTGCTGTTATCAACGAAGTGCACGCCTCTCGTGCTAAGTTCAAGATCCATTGTACTCTTCTTTGCAACATACTTCGTGCAGCTTGCATCCAATCGTAGGCATCACGAGTCAAGGCAGCAGCCACATGGACCAGTAAGATTCACTGATATTGAGGATTTGGACCAGGGTGCTGTTCCGATCAAACTTGCAATAACACCTTGTTGAGCTGGGTCTTCCCCACTGGCACAACCACCTTGTGTGGCCCTACCATTAGCGGTCTCAAAAAAACAAAACAAAAAAAAACAAAAACAAAAAAAACCATTAGTGGTCTCTGCCCGTTGCCTTCATTTCATTGGTAGGGTTGTGTTCGACGAAAAGCCCACTTGATTGCCTTCCCGCATATAGCTTTCGAATGTAAGTGTGATGTATTGATATCACAGACATGCTGACGTTTGGTACATGCCTCAAGGCTAGAAGTGATAGTCATACATCACTTCAAGCTAGGACCACTCCAGTGGGAGAAATGAGATGATCCACTGTTGTCCCTTGGAAGCATTTGACCCTGTTGACCATGGTGATATCTACATAGGCATCAATACACAGCCGGAAAGTGAAGCGTGCACACGCACACGCACACGCGCACACACACACACACACACACACACACACGCACACACACACACACACGCACACACACACGCACATTCATGCCAAGCAGCATAGTACCACAATTTCCACCATGTAAAGCAGCAAGTATCGCCCCCCCCCCCCCCCCCAAGCATGTGCATTCACAGAGTACATGGTTATGCCACAGGGGATTTTTTATGTATTTGAATGCAGGTGCACAGACCCTGGGTCATTGGCATTGGTCATGGGTTTCATATCCATGTCCTAACTATAAATTGATAAGTCAATAATAATTTTGCTCTTCTGTTTCATGCATTGTGTGTAAAATACCAATATACAGGCAAATTGTACTAAAGTACCATCCAGCTCTGCATCAATTTTGCCAATGCTGTTGATTGCACATTGTTCACAATCGCTGCAATCGCTGCCATTTCTAATAAATAATATTGTCATGTAGTATAGTTACGAAATACACCGCCAGGATGCCACAATACAAAGATGGCTACATTTTTTCAACAAACATGCAATTATTGCGAAAAAATAAATATTTTCATAATTTCGTGCCGTTGGTTTGTACACAATTTCAGGGCTAAAATAACCTTACCCTGTCATGGCGATATCTCTGAGGAGTTGAATTCACCTAGTCTCCCTTGTGCACAAAATTCCCTCGTGGTGCTGCCAGCTGCAATGTAATGGCAACCCAGAATAGGGTGAAAATCGAAAACGATAAATTCCTTGCCTCCCGTCCATCCAACTGCGTTGTTTGCATCAAGTACGATGTTTAGAAGACGAGTGGCATCTGACTAACAACTGGCAACATATGTCTTGAAGAAGGAAGCCCTCATTTCACCGACTGGCCTCGAGGTAGGCAACAAATCGACCAACAATTTACTGACCGGCGTCGTCATCTTTCCCTGCATAACGTCTGCATGTATGGTTCCCGCGCAGAAAATAAAAATCGGGCCAAAACAGGGTCTGGCCCACGGACTGGTAGGTAAGATTGTACAGGAGGAGGCACCTAACATTTATAAGAGACAGCTCGCCAAATAAGCCAATACATCACAGATCAATAATTTGTTTCAACGGGTTCGACGGGAATCTTGTGCATCCTAGATGCAATCATGAGTCAGTCAAGTGACAAGTCAATTGGTGGCAAGCAATGACCTCCATATTTGGACCAGCCACTTTCCTCAGAGTTCGATTTTGATACATGTTCCTCGAAGACGATAATGCTGTCACATTTTGAAGCTTAACTCGGATACTGAACCAACAATAAAAGTGAAGTAGAAGAAAACCACATTGAAAGGAATTATGAAACAACTATCCATGACTGCAACATGATCATAAGCAGCCAGGACATGCGATAACAGGGTAGAAGACCGAAAGGTTACTGAGAGATTCAACAACCTGAGGCCGAACTGTAACATGAAGTATGACAAATATATTGGAAAGGGGGGGGGGGGCACCAAACCTTTCTAATGGCCGATACTGACACTTGAAAAATCTCAGGTTTTGAGTTTTTTCCACTCCATACATAATTTTATTTTCATTCTTTTATTGGTTTGGTGAGACTCCCATGATAGGTATCCATTTACCTCTGGAGAATCCATAAATAAACAAAACTGAACTAAACTTAACTTTGTATTTCTAACAGTCGTTGGTAGCGGTAACCTCACTTTGAACTGTGATCTACACATTTACTACTATGTCCTGCATAGTAAAGGAAGGCACCTTGTCAAGCATCATTTGTGTGAGCCTTTCGGAAGAGAGTTATCTGAGCATCTACATAGGCGAGTATGCGTGTATGTGCGTGTGTGTGCATGCGTTTGTGTGGGGGTGGGTGTTTGTGCGTTTGTGTGTGGGTAGGTGTATGTGTGTGTGCGCATGTCTGTGTGTGTGTGTGTGTGTGTGTGTGTGTGTGTGTGTGTGTGTGTGTGTGTGTGTGTGTGTGTGTGTGTGCCAGTTCTAGCGGCAGCCGTGAGAGGATTCAATTCCGATGATAAGCCAGATCCATAGCTGCTGGAGATGGCTCTCTCGAACGTGGTCGTGCTTGTCGTTCTATATTGTCGGCCCTGTAAGGGGACACGTGACCGTAATGGCAGTGTTTACCAGGACCAGGACCAGGTGTGTGTGTGTGTGAGTGTGTGTGTGTGTGCGTGTGTGTGTGCACCCCAAATGCTTCCTACACTGTGAGCATCTGTGTCACCAAGAATATAGTTAGTTCGGTGTCACCAAGAATATAGTTACTTCCTCCGCGTCATCGAAATTGTCGCAGTTTGACTAGTGACTTGTCACTTGTTACTGACAACTCCATAAGCTAAACCATTCAAAACTTATTACACAGTATGATAGTCTGAAGGCTAGAGTAACGTTCCAGGACAGTTGGACTGAGAAATTTCACGCAGAGATGAAGGCCTCGTCGTCGTTGTTGTCAATGGACGCAAAATATCGTTCCAAAATAATTCAAGGAAGGTTGCAAGTTGGTCGCGCCTCATCTCAAACGCTTTGACTTTCTCAACAGGACAAGACCTGCTATGCTTGTCGGCTGCTAGCTCTGGATGATTTCTACTTCACCACCAACGAAGTAAGAATACACGATCGTTGCGAGGTTGATTACGATCGGCGGAATCACCTCGATCTTGAAATGAACTTTTTTTAGCCGTGGCATGCCCATTTATTTTAGCTGTGTGGTCACAGCTCATGCGGGTAAGTGTACTGTCACGTCAAGCGCGCCCTCTTTTTCTGCATCACTGGTACGGCATCTGCGCGTGCATCACTAGCACTACGTGTAGAGTCTACACGGCTCTTGCAGGTACAATCATGTACTGAGTGTCTCAGCCAGAGCGACAAATTTTATCGATATTGCATACATTTAGTTTGCTGACCCCTCAATGTTTCTCCAAGCGCTGCTACTTGTTCCACGAAGTCATTCTCACCCCAGCTGAGGTAAAACAGTGATGAAGCTTGAGTGAATGGCCATAAGCACGAGAAATGTGCGGGCTGCAACGCCTGACTGATCTCAACGAGTCGAAATTACTATCGCAGCGACATCAGCGAAGAAACCGCGTCTAGTTCAAAGATCTCAGCTTCCAATAACAGAAAATAGAACTTTGCCGTCACCCTATACTGATGACTATCGCCTATGTCCAATTCCTTGCCTCTGGTACGAGTGCTGGTGAGTAAATTCCCCGTTTTATGTCAAAAGTCAAACTGCGACAATTTCGATGACGAGGAGGAAGTAGTTCTGTGTCACCAAGAATATAGTTAGGTTTGTGTCACCAAGAATATAGTTAGTTTTGTGTCACCAAGAATATAGCTAGATTTGTAAATGTAGAGGGGACAGTAGGAACAATTCTCAGATTATGCTTAAAACTACGTCATAGTTTACATTGTTTGCACTTACTGTTGCAAGTAGGTATTTGTAGAGTTCCATCAGCACTGCACATTGCTGTTGCAGATCCATTCATTATATAACCAGTATTACACGTGTAATTCACACTCTGAAGATAGGACACCATTGTCTTGTCCGCATTGCCATTCATGAGTGTTGGCACTGTGCAATTCACAACTAGCAGAACAAGAACACAGTAAGGCATGGACACAAGGATGTGCAAACTGCTTCTTTATAACTGTTCAACACGCCCACGAAGGACGGTGTTGCTGAATTCGACATCGTTCTTAGAACAAGAAGGTTATTAATATAAGGAGGGTTTGTCAACTGACAACCGCTCTATTTAGTTTATATTCACTCTTGGCGCATGCGCTGGCTGAAAATTCTTTTATTAGTGATGTGGGAAAAATTATTGACATTTCGGGCCAGTCACCCATCGTCAGAAGGTGATTGTATAGAGTGATTGTGTCCGCCAATGGCTGATAATGAAGAAGAAGCCGAAGAGACAGTAAACAGAAAAGGAAATTGATATAAAGATACATGGAAGTAGCAAATTTACACAGTGTCCTATGACATTGCTACTCTACGTGAAATGAACACAGAGGGCTGATAAGGTGGTAGCAAATTTACACAGTGTCCTATGACATTGCTACTCTATGTGGAATGAACCCAGAGGGCTGATAACCGGTGGTAGCAGAGTGTGTGCGGACAAGAGATATAAAAAAACTCGGACTGGATACAACACGAATGGCAGCCGGGAGTGAGTTCCATGTGGCAGTGGTTACAAATAGAAAGGTGGCATAGGTATGTGTGCTTGCTCAAAGATGTCTTGACAACAGATAAATGAAAGAGCAATGTTCTAACAACTTACTGTTGCAGGCAGGCTTCGGCTCTGTCAAAGTTCCGTAAGCACTGCAAGTTGCTGTTACTGATCCATTTATACTATAACCAGTGTCACATGTGTAATTCACTTGTTGAAGGTATGACAGAACTCTCTTGTCACCACGGCCATGGGCGACCGTTGGCACAGTACAATTGACAACTGGAAATGACATGACAGAGAAACGTAACAGGAGAAGAATGTAGCATAAAAACAGGATGCCGGATTTTTGTCATCTTGCTTTGAGTTTTTAGCTCCGAGAATTTTTACTGATCTAAAATATAACCATCATGCAGACAGAAGTACAGGTTCCTGCGCGAGTACAAGGGCAGTACCGCGGAATCCAGCCCGCGCCGCGATAGCGGGAAGGGCTGGATGAACAGCGGTACTGACCGAGTATGAGTGACTGGAACGTGTTTCCCATATGCACCCAACTTCCCCCCAAGCCAATGTCGCAAGGAGATCACTCACAATCTTTGAGTTTACATGAACCATTCTGTGACTTGAGTCCTGTATAGACCTTATTCGATACACGTCACGGGTCACGTGGACCCCACTCACGAACCTCCGAAAAACTGGACGAGTGGCAAGAAGTGTTTTGTTTTGAAAGTGCGTGTTGATAGTTGTGGGCAAGTGTGTTTGGAGGAGAGCTTTGGAATTGTTCTGGGTAGCTGTCACTGTCGTTGGTCAGGGAGACGTGGGTAGGGAGTGTAGTAGTATGGTGAAGAGTTGCTGTGCAGTTGGTTGCGCTAACCGTTTCGCGAAAGGCGGTGGAAAGAGCTTTTATAAGTTCCCAACTAATCAGCTCAGGAGAGCAAAGTGGATTGCTGCGCTGAAGCGCAAGAACTGGCAGCCCAACGCTTCCAGTTGGGTGTGCTGCGATCACTTTGTAAGGTTCAAGAAGAGCGACGATCCACTATCCCCTGATTTCGTCCCGTCTGTTTTTTCAGACGAGGGTCGAGTAAATGGTGAGAAAGCTTACGTAAAATTTGATCGCCACAAGGCCCGACGTCGACGGCATGCAGCTTCAAAGCCAACAGCTCAGCCTGAAGATACCTGCCATGGCAATCATGAGCCCGTGCTGACTGGAGAAAGTGACTGTAATGCTGACAAGGAAATCGAAGAGGAGAGTGCGCCGAGAGATTCATGTTCGTCAGACTCTGTTGAGCCAGCGTCCCCAGCTCAGCCAGAGCTCACTGAAGCCAGCAGCCATGTCGACAATAGTGCTGAACAAGAAAATGAAGATCTAGCCTTGCTTCAGGCGAGAGTGGCACAGCTGGAAGAGGACAAATGCCAGCTGAATGGTCAGTTGCAGGAACAGAAATCTGCTATTTCTGCTCTCACCGTCAAAGTACAGCACCTGGAAGCCACTGTGAAACATCAAAAATCAGAGGCGGCAATGTCTTCCATCATATCAGGATTCAAGTCCAATGATGACATGGTGAGATATGAAACTGGCCTCCCATCTTTTGCTGTGCTGGAGAAAGTGTTCGCATTTGCTGGCAAGGACATCCCCGACCACCACCGAGCGGCACTTCCGTCCTTTGCGCAGTTTATTATTGTCCTGATGAAGCTGCGCCTCAACTTGCACGATCAAGATCTAGCACATCGCTTCGGCATTAGCCAGTCTACCGTCTCAAAGTACTTCCACAAATGGATCCACGTCCTTTATGGCAGGCTGCAGCCGTTGATCATCTGGCCAGAGCGCTCCGAACTGTACCGCACGATGCCATTGGAGTTTCGCGGACATTTTGGGAAGTGCATTTGCATTATTGATTGTTTTGAAGTGTTTTGCGAAAGGCCACATGATCTGATGGCCAGGGCTCAAACCTTCTCTAATTACAAACACCACAACACGGTTAAATTTCTTATTGGTATCACCCCGCAAGGCACTATTTCCTTCATCTCCAAAGGATGGGGTGGCCGGACATCGGATAAGTACATCACGGAGCATTGCGGGCTGTTGGACAAGCTATTGCCGGGTGATCAGCTAATGGCAGACCGGGGATTCACGGTCAGTGATGCCGTTGGCCTGCACTGCGCTGAGCTGGTCATACCTCCGTTCACAAGAGGCAAGAAGCAACTGTCGAGAATCAGCATTGAGAAGGCCAGGAAGCTGTCTCGGCTACGAATCCATGTGGAACGTGTTATCGGCAGAAGTACACTATTCTGCAGTCAACCCTGCCAGTGAACATGCTGATGAGTGATGCCTCAACAGGAGTGTGCACGATCGACAAGATTGTCCTGGTGTGCTCTGCGCTGTGCAACTGCTGCGACTCAGTGGTGCCTTTCCAGTAGAAGTATTGACTTGTTTTTTTCCTTTTTTTGTCCCGTATTGTGGAACGTGTGGCATGTTGTTGCTGCATAGATTACCTGGACAGGAGTGCAATGCAAATTATGTTACTTGTATTTTACCACTCCCTCGAAGAACGGCTTTTGTCCCTGTGTCTAGTTAGCACCAATGTGTACATCTCAATCAATCACACTCCATTACACACACACACACACACACAGACACAGACACATACACACACACACGTCATGTTTCAAAAAGCACAACTTGAAATCATCATATGATTTCATCTTTTTCGCTTGCCTGCACATAATAATAACAAGCCCCAGTGGTCATATTGACTCAAGTTCAAATTTCTGACATGGTGGAATGTATGATCCTGCAGCCATGCATGAGCATGGCTGTTGATTTCTATGTACATGTATGGTGCAATCATTTGTGTGAGAAGTGAGAGTTTTGGTGGGTTGGGCATAGCTCCTAGTTACATAATTGCATCAGGATACATGCATGTATGCACACACACACACACACACACACACACATACACTACTACTACTACTATGTACAGCTGCCCTATCGGGCCATGCCGCTATCATAAGCGGGAGACAACAACTAAAAGAGAGAAGAGAGGAAAGAAAGAGCGAGAGTCAACAGAATCTAGCATGGCGTTGCACACACACACACACACACACACACACACACACACACACACCCGTACACACAGTTATTCCTTCTTCTTGCATGCTGCACATATCCACTTGCGTTTTGGTTTCTGCTTCATGCGAAGACATACCAAGTGAAACGTCTTAACTCTGCAGTCTGGATGTGAGCATTCCACCACGTCGCCGTCCTTATCCTCGTTGCAAGTGCATACAGCTCCATCAGAATTGGCGGCAGTAGATTTGAAGGATTTTGTAAAATACTTGCCGACAATCTCTGGCAGCACGCCAGCCTTGTAGAAAGACGTGATGGCTTGGACTGTCTTGTGGAAATCTGGATCTGGATGAACGCGGATGACTACACATTCCCGCACGCTCCACACCACAAAATCCGAATGTGCTGCCTTGCATACAAACATCTGTGCTTGCACTTGGTATGCATACTTGTGACCAAGGCGCAAATGGAATTTTCCATCGACCTCCTTCAAACAGAAGTCGGTGTCCTTTGCCAGATCATGGAAGGACTTGTTCACAGCTTTGAAAGGGCATTTCACCTCAAGGACGCCATATCCGCAGCAAGTACAATTGATGTTTCCATCAGGACTGGCACCGAGATACGGATGAGTGGTGGAGATGACGAATCCTGAATCAGTAACTTTGAAGTCGCAGTGGTTAGGCTCAAACAGTTTGACGTAGCAGTCTCGGGCAGTCTGCTCATGCTCCAAACCCCAAGTGGTCGCTGCAGAGGAAAACTGATATGCATCGGGGTAGCAAATTGCACGAATTAGAGATGATGATGGGTTCGCAGGGGGTGTGTGAGCAGCATCACGGAACTTTGAAGCTGTCACACGCCCTGCGCGGAACCTGAACCACAGCTTGCTCTTGCTCTGATCGCGGGTTGCCTTTTCAACAGCAGCCGATTCTGCTGCTGTCACTCCCATGCCCTTCAAAACATCATCACACCGGTTCAGCAACACATCGAGTGATGCGTCTAGCATTGCCTCATCATAGAGGTCGGTGATATAAGCTGGGAACCCAGCTGGGCGGGTTGGGACATACCTCTCGCAGAAACCAGGAACAATTGATAGTATCCCTGGCTTGCTCTGCGTGGAGGCAAGACCAGAAAAGAACTCGTTGACTTCACTGGTGGTTGGCACAGTGTATGTCGGCAGTTGTGTGGTGACCTCCACACTGGCTGCTGCTGGCTTAGTGCGCTTGCTGCTCGGCGCGGCGAAATCCATCTCGCATATCCTGGCATACTGCACAGGCTGCAGGGATGGGGCAATCCACTGACATTGCGTGGAGGTGCAGGCGGAATTTTCTTTCACGAAATCCGTCCTGGCCACCAGAGTAAATAGCAAGGTGGCAATGTGGGAGCATGCCTCACCCAGGCCAGCCATACACGTACAGTGGGCACAAAGCACACTCCCATCCATGTCAGCTGCCACCCAAGGCTGCAGCTCAGCAGAGGACACGGATTGGGAGTGACGGACCTTCGCCATCACAAATGCTCTCTTGCCATCCGCAGTTGCAGGAAAGGTGACGACATTGCCAACCCAACCAGCAACGAAAAACTGGTACCCCTCCAAGCTTTTGTACGCCTTCATCTCCTCTTTCGTGCAGGGACTCGGCGCGTTCACGAGATAGTGGTACAAATCAGGATACTCCACGCTGGGGAAATCAGGTGTGGCACCAGGCGTGAGAGATCTGCTCGTCACGTAGGGGTCCTGGTCCGAGCCGATGAACGCCAGCTTCTCGGCATACCGCGTCTTGCCCGCTCTATCCAAATCGCGATAGATTTCGGACAACTCTTGAACCGCCATCACTGCTAGAACACTCAAAACTACAAGAAGACTGCTTACTGCTCCTAACACCTGACAAACGCCAGCTTCTCGGCATACCGCGTCTTGCACGCTTTATCCAAATCGAGATAGATTTCGGACAAGTCTTGAACCGCCATCACTGCTAGAACACTCAAAACTACAAGAAGACTGCTTACTGCTCCTAACACCTGACAAACCTGCATGAAAGTACTTCGAGAAAAGGAAGGAGACGAACTCCGATATTGAAAATACATTCAAAACAAATTTCCGTGATGCTCAGCTGAGGCCTTTTTGCCACTCGTCCGGATCACGCGTCCGAGTGCCGCGTGCGCATCCTCGAAGGCGCCCGAAAAATCACGTGATCGAATAAGGTCTATACTGTATGAGGCTGTGAGCTGAGTGAGAGTGACTTCGACAACCGTACACGGAGTAGAGTACATGACTTTTGCATGTAATTTCAGACCACAGAAGCTTGCCATTAAATTGGTAGACTCATGGAGTCATGAGTGGATTCTGTCCACTGCCCATCGTCAAGTGACGACGGGCAGTGGATTCTGTCCACTTCCCGTCGTCAAGTGACGGCGGGCAGTGGATTCCGTCCACTGCCCGTCGTCATTTGACGACGGGCAGTGGAACTAGTTCCATCATCATTCAGCAAGCAGGATCGCGCTGTCCAGCCCACGTATTTTGATCTGTCATTGGTCGACACCAAGGCGGCAGTCATGTGACATACGGGAATAGAATATAATCATTAGACATCCTTAGCAAAAGTATGATAACACTAACTTTTACGGTACTCACTCCCAGCCGTGACAAAAGACGTTATCGGATAACGGAAAAACGTTACAGAGCTCAAAATAACGGGCCGACGTTCGTTATGGAAATTCTGCAAAAAATGCAAAAACTCGCATTGTTTTGTAACTGGCGGGAGATAAAAAGCACGTCGTGCAGATCGAGATGAGATCGAGAGTCGAGATTGCTTCCTCTTGTGACATTTAGCTTTTTTGGCGAGTTTTGCCTTTCAGTTGACAATTTCTGCGTCCCCTGCTTCGTACCTTTCTCCCTCTATCCCATCTGGGAAACAAAGGACCAGTTCCACGGCACTCCTGAGGAAGAAATTCATCGGCCTCTCCCAGACGTGCTGGAGCTGGAGAACCCTTACAGTCTTCGGTGCTGCGTTTAGGAAAGGGTTTCCAAGGACCTGGGAACAGCGAAAACTCATTTTCGCCGTGCTTTTGCTATTCCAGAGACCTCGCCAAGGTATTCTTTCGGAACGACAGCAAACTAATCCCTGGTTCAAAATTTTGAATTTCCCGCATCTGTTTCCACGAAAATTCATATCGCCATGGTTGTCACGACTACTTCGTCTCAACTATAACGTACTTTGTGCTAAGGGAAAAGTCAGCTTGAACACAGAGGGCTGATAAGGTGGTAGCAAATTTACACAGTGTCCTATGACATTGCTACTCTATGTGGAATGAACCCAGAGGGCTGATAACCGGTGGTAGCAGAGTGTGTGCGGACAAGAGATATAAAAAAAACTCGGACTGGATACAGCACGAATGGCAGGCGGGAGTGAGTTCCATGTGGCAGTGGTTACAAAGAGAAAGGTGGCATAGGTATGTGTGCTTGCTCAAAGATGTCTTGACAACAGATAAATGAAAGAGCAATGTTCTAACAACTTACTGTTGCAGGTAGGCTTCGGCTCTGTCAAAGTTCCGTAAGCACTGCAAGTTGCTGTTACTGATCCATTTATACTATAACCAGTGTCACATGTGTAATTCACTTGTTGAAGGTATGACAGAACTCTCTTGTCACCACGGCCATGGGCGACCGTTGGCACAGTACAATTGACAACTAGAAATTAGATGACAGAGAAACGTAACAGGAGAAGAATGTAGCATAAAAACAGGATGCCGGATTTTTGTCATCTTCCTTTGAGTTTTTGGCTCCGAGGATTTTTTACTGATCTAAAATATAACCATCATGCAGACAGAAGTACAGGTTCCTGCACGAGTACAAGGGCAATACAGCGGAATCCAGCCCGCGCCGCGATAGCGGGAAGGGCTGGATGAACAGCGGTACTGACCGAGTATGAGTGACTGGAACGTGTTTCCCATATGCACCCAACTTCCCCCAAGCCAATGTCGCAAGGAGATCACTCACAATCTTTGAGTTTACATGAACCATTCTGTGACTCGAGTCCTGTATACTGTATGAGGCTGTGAGCTGAGTGAGAGTGACTTCGACAACCGTACACGGAGTAGAGTACATGACTTTTGCATGTACTTTCAGACCACAGAAGCTTGCCATTAAATTGGTAGACTCATGGAGTCATGAGTGGATTCTGTCCACTGCCCATCGTCAAGTGACAACGGGCAGTGGATTCTGTTTGTCGTCAAGTGACGACGGGCAGTGGATTCCGTCCACTGCCCGTCGTCATTTGACGACGGGCAGTGGAACTAGTTCCATCATCATTCAGCAAGCAGGATCGCGCTGTCCAGCCCACGTATTTTGATCTGTCATTGGTCGACTCCAAGGCGGCAGTCATGTGACATACGGGAATAGAATATAATCATTAGACATCCTTAGCAAAAGTATGATAACACTAACTTTTACGGTACTCACTCCCAGCCGTGACAAAAGACGTTATCGGATAACGGAAAAACGTTACAGAGCTCAAAATAACGGGCCGACGTTCGTTATGGAAATTCTGCAAAAAATGCAAAAACTCGCATTGTTTTGTAACTGGCGGGAGATAAAAAGCACGTCGTGCAGATCGAGATGAGATCGAGAGTCGAGATTGCTTCCTCTTGTGACATTTAGCTTTTTTGGCGAGTTTTGCCTTTCAGTTGACAATTTCTGCGTCCCCTGCTTCGTACCTTTCTCCCTCTATCCCATCTGGGAAACAAAGGACCAGTTCCACGGCACTCCTGAGGAAGAAATTCATCGGCCTCTCCCAGACGTGCTGGAGCTGGAGAACCCTTACAGTCTTCGGTGCTGCGTTTAGGAAAGGGTTTCCAAGGACCTGGGAACAGCGAAAACTCATTTTCGCCGTGCTTTTGCTATTCCAGAGACCTCGCCAAGGTATTCTTTCGGAACGACAGCAAACTAATCCCTGGTTCAAAATTTTGAATTTCCCGCATCTGTTTTCACGAAAATTCATATCGCCATGGTTGTCACGACTACTTCGTCTCAACTATAACGTACTTTGTGCTAAGGGAAAAGTCAGCTTGAACACAGAGGGCTGATAAGGTGGTAGCAAATTTACACAGTGTCCTATGACATTGCTACTCTATGTGGAATGAACCCAGAGGGCTGATAACCGGTGGTAGCAGAGTGTGTGCGGACAAGAGATATAAAAAAAACTCGGACTGGATACAGCACGAATGGCAGGCGGGAGTGAGTTCCATGTGGCAGTGGTTACAAAGAGAAAGGTGGCATAGGTATGTGTGCTTGCTCAAAGATGTCTTGACAACAGATAAATGAAAGAGCAATGTTCTAACAACTTACTGTTGCAGGTAGGCTTCGGCTCTGTCAAAGTTCCGTAAGCACTGCAAGTTGCTGTTACTGATCCATTTATACTATAACCAGTGTCACATGTGTAATTCACTTGTTGAAGGTATGACAGAACTCTCTTGTCACCACGGCCATGGGCGACCGTTGGCACAGTACAATTGACAACTAGAAATTAGATGACAGAGAAACGTAACAGGAGAAGAATGTAGCATAAAAACAGGATGCCGGATTTTTGTCATCTTCCTTTGAGTTTTTGGCTCCGAGGATTTTTTACTGATCTAAAATATAACCATCATGCAGACAGAAGTACAGGTTCCTGCACGAGTACAAGGGCAATACAGCGGAATCCAGCCCGCGCCGCGATAGCGGGAAGGGCTGGATGAACAGCGGTACTGACCGAGTATGAGTGACTGGAACGTGTTTCCCATATGCACCCAACTTCCCCCAAGCCAATGTCGCAAGGAGATCACTCACAATCTTTGAGTTTACATGAACCATTCTGTGACTCGAGTCCTGTATACTGTATGAGGCTGTGAGCTGAGTGAGAGTGACTTCGACAACCGTACACGGAGTAGAGTACATGACTTTTGCATGTACTTTCAGACCACAGAAGCTTGCCATTAAATTGGTAGACTCATGGAGTCATGAGTGGATTCTGTCCACTGCCCATCGTCAAGTGACAACGGGCAGTGGATTCTGTTTGTCGTCAAGTGACGACGGGCAGTGGATTCCGTCCACTGCCCGTCGTCATTTGACGACGGGCAGTGGAACTAGTTCCATCATCATTCAGCAAGCAGGATCGCGCTGTCCAGCCCGCGTATTTTGATCTGTCATTGGTCGACTCCAAGGCGGTAGTCATGTGACATACGGGAACAGAATATAATCATTAGACATCCTTAGCAAAAGTATGATAACGCTAACTTTTACGGTACTCACTCCCAGCCGTGACAAAAGACGTTATCGGATAACGGAAAAACGTTACAGAGCTCAAAATAATGGGCCGACGTTCGTTATGGAAATTCTGCAAAAAATGCAAAAACTCGCATTGTTTTGTAACTGGCGGGAGATAAAAAGCACGTCGTGCAGATCGAGATGAGATCGAGAGTCGAGATTGCTTCCTCTTGTGACATTTAGCTTTTTTGGCGAGTTTTGCCTTTCAGTTGACAATTTCTGCGTCCCCTGCTTCGTACCTTTCTCCCTCTATCCCATCTGGGAAACAAAGGACCAGTTCCACGGCACTCCTGAGGAAGAAATTCATCGGCCTCTCCCAGACGTGCTGGAGCTGGAGAACCCTTACAGTCTTCGGTGCTGCGTTTAGGAAAGGGTTTCCAAGGACCTGGGAACAGCGAAAACTCATTTTCGCCGTGCTTTTGCTATTCCAGAGACCTCGCCAAGGTATTCTTTCGGAACGACAGCAAACTAATCCCTGGTTCAAAATTTTGAATTTCCCGCATCTGTTTCCACGAAAATTCATATCGCCATGTTTGTCACGACTACTTCGTCTCAACTATAACGTACTTTGTGCTAAGGGAAAAGTCAGCTTGAACACAGAGGGCTGATAAGGTGGTAGCAAATTTACACAGTGTCCTATGACATTGCTACTCTATGTGAAATGAACCCAGAGGGCTGATAACCGGTGGTAGCAGAGTGTGTGCGGACAAGAGATATAAAAAAAACTCGGACTGGATACAGCACGAATGGCAGGCGGGAGTGAGTTCCATGTGGCAGTGGTTACAAAGAGAAAGGTGGCATAGGTATGTGTGCTTGCTCAAAGATGTCTTGACAACAGATAAATGAAAGAGCAATGTTCTAACAACTTACTGTTGCAGGTAGGCTTCGGCTCTGTCAAAGTTCCGTAAGCACTGCAAGTTGCTGTTACTGATCCATTTATACTATAACCAGTGTCACATGTGTAATTCACTTGTTGAAGGTATGACAGAACTCTCTTGTCACCACGGCCATGGGCGACCGTTGGCACAGTACAATTGACAACTAGAAATTAGATGACAGAGAAACGTAACAGGAGAAGAATGTAGCATAAAAACAGGATGCCGGATTTTTGTCATCTTCCTTTGAGTTTTTGGCTCCGAGGATTTTTTACTGATCTAAAATATTACCATCATGCAGACAGAAGTACAGGTTCCTGCACGAGTACAAGGGCAGTACAGCGGAATCCAGCCCGCGCCGCGATAGCGGGAAGGGCTGGATGAACAGCGGTACTGACCGAGTATGAGTGACTGGAACGTGTTTCCCATATGCACCCAACTTCCCCCCAAGCCAATGTCGCAAGGAGATCACTCACAATCTTTGAGTTTACATGAACCATTCTGTGACTCGAGTCCTGTATACTGTATGAGGCTGTGAGCTGAGTGAGAGTGACTTCGACAACCGTACACGGAGTAGAGTACATGACTTTTGCATGTACTTTCAGACCACAGAAGCTTGCCATTAAATTGGTAGACTCATGGAGTCATGAGTGGATTCTGTCCGCTGCCCATCGTCAAGTGACAACGGGCAGTGGATTCTGTTTGTCGTCAAGTGACGACGGGCAGTGGATTCCGTCCACTGCCCGTCGTCATTTGACGACGGGCAGTGGAACTAGTTCCATCATCATTCAGGAAGCAGGATCGCGCTGTCCAGCCCGCGTATTTTGATCTGTCATTGGTCGACTCCAAGGCGGTAGTCATGTGACATACGGGAACAGAATATAATCATTAGACATCCTTAGCAAAAGTATGATAACGCTAACTTTTACGGTACTCACTCCCAGCCGTGACAAAAGACGTTATCGGATAACGGAAAAACGTTACAGAGCTCAAAATAATGGGCCGACGTTCGTTATGGAAATTCTGCAAAAAATGCAAAAACTCGCATTGTTTTGTAACTGGCGGGAGATAAAAAGCACGTCGTGCAGATCGAGATGAGATCGAGAGTCGAGATTGCTTCCTCTTGTGACATTTAGCTTTTTTGGCGAGTTTTGCCTTTCAGTTGACAATTTCTGCGTCCCCTGCTTCGTACCTTTCTCCCTCTATCCCATCTGGGAAACAAAGGACCAGTTCCACGGCACTCCTGAGGAAGAAATTCATCGGCCTCTCCCAGACGTGCTGGAGCTGGAGAACCCTTACAGTCTTCGGTGCTGCGTTTAGGAAAGGGTTTCCAAGGACCTGGGAACAGCGAAAACTCATTTTCGCCGTGCTTTTGCTATTCCAGAGACCTCGCCAAGGTATTCTTTCGGAACGACAGCAAACTAATCCCTGGTTCAAAATTTTGAATTTCCCGCATCTGTTTCCACGAAAATTCATATCGCCATGGTTGTCACGACTACTTCGTCTCAACTATAACGTACTTTGTGCTAAGGGAAAAGTCAGCTTGAACACAGAGGGCTGATAAGGTGGTAGCAAATTTACACAGTGTCCTATGACATTGCTACTCTATGTGAAATGAACCCAGAGGGCTGATAACCGGTGGTAGCAGAGTGTGTGCGGACAAGAGATATAAAAAAAACTCGGACTGGATACAGCACGAATGGCAGCCGGGAGTGAGTTCCATGTGGCAGTGGTTACAAAGAGAAAGGTGGCATAGGTATGTGTGCTTGCTCAAAGATGTCTTGACAACAGATAAATGAAAGAGCAATGTTCTAACAACTTACTGTTGCAGGTAGGCTTCGGCTCTGTCAAATTTCCGTAAGCACTGCAAGTTGCTGTTACTGATCCATTTATACTATAACCAGTGTCACATGTGTAATTCACTTGTTGAAGGTATGACAGAACTCTCTTGTCACCACGGCCATGGGCGACCGTTGGCACAGTACAATTGACAACTAGAAATTAGATGACAGAGAAACGTAACAGGAGAAGAATGTAGCATAAAAACAGGATGCCGGATTTTTGTCATCTTGCTTTGAGTTTTTGGCTCCGAGAATTTTTTACTGATCTAAAATATTACCATCATGCAGACAGAAGTACAGGTTCCTGCACGAGTACAAGGGCAGTACAGCGGAATCCAGCCCGCGCCGCGATAGCGGGAAGGGCTGGATGAACAGCGGTACTGACCGAGTATGAGTGACTGGAACGTGTTTCCCATATGCACCCAACTTCCCCCCAAGCCAATGTCGCAAGGAGATCACTCACAATCTTTGAGTTTACATGAACCATTCTGTGACTCGAGTCCTGTATACTGTATGAGGCTGTGAGCTGAGTGAGAGTGACTTCGACAACCGTACACGGAGTAGAGTACATGACTTTTGCATGTACTTTCAGACCACAGAAGCTTGCCATTAAATTGGTAGACTCATGGAGTCATGAGTGGATTCTGTCCGCTGCTCATCGTCAAGTGACGACGGGCAGTGGATTCTGTCCACTTCCCGTCGTCAAGTGACGACGGGCAGTGGATTCCGTCCACTGCCCGTCGTCATTTGACGACGGGCAGTGGAACTAGTTCCATCATCATTCAGGAAGCAGGATCGCGCTGTCCAGCCCGCGTATTTTGATCTGTCATTGGTCGACTCCAAGGCGGTAGTCATGTGACATACGGGAACAGAATATAATCATTAGACATCCTTAGCAAAAGTATGATAACGCTAACTTTTACGGTACTCACTCCCAGCCGTGACAAAAGACGTTATCGGATAATGGAAAAACGTTACAGAGCTCAAAATAATGGGCCGACGTTCGTTATGGAAATTCTGCAAAAAATGCAAAAACTCGCATTGTTTTGTAACTGGCGGGAGATAAAAAGCACGTCGTGCAGATCGAGATGAGATCGAGAGTCGAGATTGCTTCCTCTTGTGACATTTAGCTTTTTTGGCGAGTTTTGCCTTTCAGTTGACAATTTCTGCGTCCCCTGCTTCGTACCTTTCTCCCTCTATCCCATCTGGGAAACAAAGGACCAGTTCCACGGCACTCCTGAGGAAGAAATTCATCGGCCTCTCCCAGACGTGCTGGAGCTGGAGAACCCTTACAGTCTTCGGTGCTGCGTTTAGGAAAGGGTTTCCAAGGACCTGGGAACAGCGAAAACTCATTTTCGCCGTGCTTTTGCTATTCCAGAGACCTCGCCAAGGTATTCTTTCGGAACGACAGCAAACTAATCCCTGGTTCAAAATTTTGAATTTCCCGCATCTGTTTCCACGAAAATTCATATCGCCATGGTGGTCACGACTACTTCGTCTCAACTATAACGTACTTTGTGCTAAGGGAAAAGTCAGCTTGAACGATCCGAAGTACGGAAAGGTTTGCGTTTACGTTAGCGTTTTTTAAGCTAAGGATATCTATTTTTGGTTCCTTCTGGACCCGTTAGCGCTGCGCTGAAGATAATAAGGCCGAACCAGAGAAGGAAAAACAAAATTTTCAAAGACAAGACCTCGCTTCAGCGGATACGCTACTTTCGAGTGCATGTGTGACCGGGCCCTAAGTGCGCACTCCAACAACCTCCCAACTTGGAAGGTTGTTAGTTCTATGAAAACGTAGGTGGGGAAGACGAGTGCAACCCAGACACACCAAACACGTGCTAGAGCTGAGTTCCTAGTTAGTTGTACAACACCAGTAGCGGCAGTCAGTTTTGTTCAATGTTATCGCATGAGCTGTTGGTCCAGTAACTAGTGGTGTTAGTGGACATTATAGCGTAACTTGTAGTTCCTTGGTCCTTTTTCTTTACTATAAATATTTGACATGTCAATTTAAATTACTTCCTCCGCGTCATCGAAATTGTCGCAGTTTGACTAGTGAAATCTCACTTGTTACTGACAACTCCATAAACTACGCCATTCGGAACTTATTACACAGTATGATAGTCTGAAGACTAGAGTAACGTTCCAGGACAATTGGACTGAGAGTTTTCATACAGAGATGAAGTCCTCGTCGTCGCTGATGTCTATGGACGCAAAAATATCGTCCTGAAATATTTCAAGGAAGGTTGAAAGTTGGTCGCGCCTCATCTCAAACGCTTTGACTTTCTCCACAGGACAAGAGCTGCTATGCTTGTCGTTTGCTAGCTCTGGATGATTTCTACTTCACCACCAACGAAGCCTAGTAAGAATACACGATCGTTGCGAGGTCGGTTGATTACCGTCGGCGGAATCACCTTTGGAATCACCTCGATCTTGAAATGAACTTTTTTTAGCCGTGGCATGCCCACAGCTCATGCAGGTAAGTGTAGTATCACGTCCAGCGCGCCCTCTTTTTCAGCACTGGTATACCATGGTACGGCACCTGCGCGTGCATCACTAGCACTACGTGTAGAGTCTACACGGCTCTTGCAGGTACAATCATGTATTGTAGTGCTGAGTGTCTCAGCCAGAGCGACAAATTTTATCGCTGTTGCAGGCATTTAGTTTGCCGACCCCTCGATGTTTCTCCAAGCGCTGCCACTTGTTCCAAGAAGTCATTCTCATCTCAGCTAAGGTAAAACAGTGATCGGGCTTGAGTGAATGGCCATAAGCACGAGAAATGTGCAGGCTGCAACGCCTGACTGATCTCAGCGAGTCGAAATTACCAGCGCATCGACATCAGCGAAGAAATTGCGTCTAGTTCAAAAATTCCAGCTTCCAATTACAGAAAATAGAACTTTGCCGTCACCCTATACTGATGACTATCGCCTATGTCCGATTCCTTGCCTCTGGTACGAGTGCTGGTGAGTAAATACCGCATTTTACATCAAAAGTCAAACTGCGACAATTTCGATGACGCGGAGGAAGTATCTTAATCAGTATCACCTCCGACGAGTCTTTGGTAGGCAAAACAACTGCCAGAAGGAATGATTTCAGTACCAATGCTTGAAGTACCAGTACGGCCGTATCCCTTTCGTAAATTTATAGGTGTGTGTAATGGATTATAATTTTTTTTTTACTAGAGCCACGTAAACCCGTCATGTGTGAGCCATGAATAAGGGGAGTGGTGGCGTGGTCTGGGATGCTCTGCCGACCTTGGGTCTCGGCTTCATCACAACCAGGCGCGCCAATAGCAGAGAGAGAAAGAGATG